ATTCGTAATGAGATCCGTTTAAATATATGATATTAAAAATATAAAGTCATACACACAAGGTAGTTTAAGTACTATGAGAGATCTCCAAATTAAATACCACCTACTTAGTATTCATGGTACCTAATGCACATTGAAATTTTTATAAACACTTTAAATTGCTTACCTAGTTATGCCAATGCTATTAAATCAATTTTAAATTAAGAAGTAAATTAGTCATAATAATTTATACAATGTTTACGCTCCTGTCATTCGCTCTAGACAACATACTTTTGGCTTTTGAACTTACTGCCCTGATCCTGAATTAGACCTAGGTATCTTAACAAGTTGATCATTTTGTGTTTGAATTTGTAAAAAAAAATCATTATTTTCAAGCAATATATCATATAAGAGTATATGAGTATATCACAATTTAAAAATGCTCGTATCTTGCTTAAAACCTAGCAATAAGAGATAGGTATAACGGTATCAATGTTAAGTTTAATAATACCTATGTAAATTCACTCTTATTAAAATAACAACACAAAATTGGAAYGATAATATCTTTATTCGTTACAAAATTAAGCAGCTTTTAAAAAAATTGAATMATATTTAACACATATTAATTATTACATTGGTATTTAAAACACCTATTTTAAATTTATGAACAAATTATAGAATTGTTTGTTGTTATTATTAAAATGACTTAACTTGTAACAAATTAAATATATAGGTAATAATAAATTGAAACATAAAAATATATGACCAAAATAAACATTTCTTTTCAATTAGAACATAAAGTTTTATTTGAAAATAAAAATAAGATAAAAATAAAATTAAGCAACAAGACATAATATGTTATTTTGTTATTACAATAAAGTAATACTGATATAATAATGATAATGGAATTTTAACATAATATTATAACTAATAATAATAAAGAAATATTACTCTATGATTACTACTTCATTTTATTTTTATAGCTATTGGCAGCATTGTGSACAAAATCTTTAATTTTTCTCCATGGCTTGTTAATTTTATTTTGTTTTGCAAAATTTTCACATTCGTGTTTTTTGGGAGCTTTRTTTAAAATAATAGAAGTTTTAAAATGTTGAGTAATAATTTTTTTTTCATTTTCTGTCCACGGTATAATTTTTATATATTTTTTTAACTTTTTAATAGGACTTTGTTGTGTAGCACATGGTTCTTGTTCTTCTATATTTGATTCATTTGTTTGCCTTAAATCAAAGTTTGGGGAGGAGTCTTTTTCATGAAAATCATCATCTACATCATCTTCTCCTTCATCAGAAACTAAATCATTTGAACTGATGTTGATTTCGTCTAAAGTCATTCCGCGATACTTCTGGCCCTCGCCTTTTTCCATTAACAACAGTAGTTTGCTGACTTTTGCTACCTGTAAATCAGTTAGATTTAAGTAAAATAATTGTAAAGAAATATTTTTAGTTATCAACTAATAYATAATATTCAATTATGCTTCAGAATACATTAGATATTTTAATAATTAAAACAACATGCAGCTGACCATCATTGCATAATAATATTGAAAGCATGATAACTATTTGAACTTAAGCATTTATTATTATTTATTAATAATATATAATAATAATAATAATAATAATTTAAGTTGCTGCTTATTTAATAAATATGAA